AAGCTTATAATTTAAACAGGGGAAAGAGAGTATGAAAAATGCATGTAACATGTAAAGCAAAGACTTGTACCTGTATAATTAATGCCACGTATATTTCATTTTTTGCTTGCCTTTGTTAGTAACCTTCAGTTGTTCCTTTCCATTTTATTCTGTTTATGCATTCCTGACACTGGTATGCCAGAAGGGGAAAAAGCCAGATGCCTAGAAAGCAAAGCAAAGGAAGAGGGAAGAAAACAGCGAAGAAAAAACTGGTCATTGGAAGAGAGGAAGTCAGAGTGAGGTCTGAGTGTGAGGTGCAGGTGAGCCAGCTAAAAGAAGCAACTGATCAGCAAGAAAAGGCTCAGAAGAAAATACGATACATTTGCATGTGTTGTGAATGTCCTTCCTTAAACTGGTTTGGTAATTGTTCAGCAAGAAAGATGATGGAGGAGTCATCTGAACACACCTTACATTAGTGTTACGCAGAGGCCATTGATTTTTCCTTCTAAGCAACTGTACCTGCTGCTGCCCAGAACATGTTGGAGGGACTTGTCTGGCAGCTCCCATCCTCCCACCAGCAGAACTATGTCCACTGCTGGATTCCAGTACTCCTAGACAGAGATGTTATCTTGTGCTTAGTTGTGAGGAGGAAGGATAGGTAGCTGAGGACAAGTTTGTTACAACACCTGTGTGGAGATGGGTACAAATCAGAGGGAGGCATAATAAGGTACCCAAAAATCACACTCCTGCTTGTTGCATCCAGCAGCATGGTCTCAGCAGAGTGCACTCTTTTAGTAATGAAAGAATACAATTTGTGGGAGGCAGGAGGGGAGAGCCAACCCTAAAGCAAAAGAAAAGCAGCTAGTAGATGATGTAGAGTTCTCAATGAATCCGAGCCACTCTGCTGCTGCTGTGGTAGCTGTCTCCCAACTGTTCACACTTCCAGGTTGAGTGTTACTTCATTTTGGTAGACAGAGAATGATGAGCTGTAGCAAGGAAGAAATGGGCTGCTAATAGCATGGAGAGGTGCAGACAACGTATCTGGCTTTAATACTATTGATAATTTAGTTCAGGGAATGGAGTGTCTCTTCAAAATGGCACTTTTCAGTCTCTCCAGCCTATTCTAAGTGAGATATATGTGCCTTGTGGCCAGAGATGAATTGTGGAGATAGGACCTCTGAATCAATCTTCACTGTGTGGTCTTTTTTTTTCCTTCTATTTTCTTTCCTTTTTTTTTTTTTCCTTTTTCCTTTTCTAATTTAAGCCAGGAGTTGATTAGATGCCTGGCAATGATTACTATCCATTGGCACCTCCCATTGGGAGCACACTCCAAGTACCAGCCTTCAGCTCTTTCAAGCAGGGGAGGTTAAGCAGGCTGCTTACTGAGCAAAAGGAATTTCTCTTCCCATGAGAGCTTGAGTGCTGTTTCCCTGGCTAAGAATGCTATAATTCCTTTACAAGTGACAAGCAGGCTGCTACCATCTGCTGGCGAATGGCTGCAGGGTGGTGGAGTCTGGGTGAAAATTTGCTCATGGGCCAAAGAGAACGATTAGTGGTCATTATGCCCAACTCACACATTTCCTGTATGAAGTTCTGTGATCTTTATTTTGGTTTTAGAATGTTTTCTAATTGTAGTGTATGCATTTTCATCTTGTTTTGAATCATAAATACTCAAGAGAAGGGTTTTAACCAAAGCCACAGAAAGTACCAGCAGGAGCTAGGCATCTTTTTTTCCTTTTAAGGCACAGCAGCAATGCCTTGCAAAAGAAGACTGAGACCATCCAGAAATTTAACCACTCTATTCTGTCTTTTGGGAAACACCTGGGTGTATTTGGAAACCATGTGGCCTTACATGATGATGGTCTCTTTCAAAGATTAAGTGATAGACTCATGAGTTGTTTTAGAACCATACGGCTTTGTAGGGTGTCTGCTTTGTTCAGTCACTCTCTGGTGCTTCAAGAAGGAAGAAGTCGAAAGAAAAGAGTGGTTATTGTGTACGTGGTTCCCTCAGCTTCCCCTGAAAGAAGCAGATGGTCGGGGGTCCCGGGAGGTAGAAGAAATGGGGCCATTAGACTGTCAGTGGCTTGTGAAAAGCAGAAGCATCTGCCAGAATGGAGACTTGTTCAGCAGCAGGGGAGCCGGCAGCAGCAGATGATCTCTGCCTTGAGCCGTCAATGGCATAGTAGTCCACTGGGGAATTGCTGTTGTGGGCGTAGCTGCAGGTAACCTTGGTAATAATCTCGTTGGTCTAGCAGACTAAAAAAAAAAAAAAAAAAGCGAAAGCTTGATGCTCATGCTCTGGAGTCTTAACTACCCACTTTTACTGTCTAATCACTGCTAACTGCAACCCATTTGAAAGCATTCCCTACCCGTTCTCAGCTGATCACTACAGGCACATTAAAACTCGTCAAAATGCCTGTCATGTTTCTACTGCAAGTTTCAGAATAGCAACATGAACCATGCTAGATGCAGCAAAGAGTAAGTTCAAAGACTAAATTAACATTTAGAAAAGTATCAAAAAATTTTGCTAGGGGTCTTGTTTTCAGTTGTATCACACAGTGCACTCTTTCAAGACATGCTTTTTTAGTGTTAAGAAATATTTTATGCAGCTGCAGTTTAATCTCTTCTGCTGTAGTTCTTATGCTCTTATTGACTGCTCTGTACGGGACACAGTGTTCGAGGGAAGAATGACCTTCAGTTGCAACAGTGTGATGATACTTAAAAGAGGAGATAAAGTGGGGAGGCCAGAATGCCTCTGAGGAGCTAAACTAGAAATTCATATTTGCATTCAAAAAGAATAGTCAATTTGGATTGTGTCCTGTTAGAATAATTAATCTCAGTCAGCCACATCTGAAAGCGAGAATGAAGCATACAGGTAAAGAGCTCTGGTTCAGAGCTCCTCGAGCTGTACTTGGTGAGTACTTGGCATAGGTGAATCTGGGACTGTTGCCAGTACAGAATAGTCTTCTAGAGCTGACTTCATAGCCAGGAAAAGACATTTTCTGTAGATGAAACTTGGTTTTGCTCCCATGACAGAGTGAATTACTTTGCAGTTTGACTCGTGGTCCAGAGATTTTGGTGTGCATTTCAATATCGGTTTAGACCTTTTTTTTTTTATATCTTTGGAAACTAGCATTTGTGTTCTGACAGGCAAAAATAAGCTGCTTGTGTGACTCTTTCTGGGCCTCAGGAACACTTCCCTTATATGATAAATACTGCAGTAGTTTATCATGATACATGTTCACTGCTTAGAAGATTAGACACCATTTAGTAGGGAGTGCTGAAGATCAGGCTCTCGATGCTTTGGCATACCCAAAAAGAGGAGTTGTTCAGGGCTGCAGTTGTAGATGTCACGAGAACTGGTGTTTCACAAGCTCTTCTGTTAGTTGCATCTGCTTTGATTTGAAGAGGGCCACCTGGTTTATGGCTGGATCTAGTTTTGCTTTCATCTTCATTCAATCATATGAGTACAAACTATAGTCATTTCTGCATCGCACAGAATAGTGGGAAGAGCAATAACTGTCAGATATTCTCAGTAGTTTGGGGAATACTGTAGTCAAAACCCTGCTTGTTATGCAGAGTGAGGAACTTTGCTGTGGCTGTTAGCTTTGGCCACATCTGTTCTCAGATATCCACTGCAACCTGTATGCTAATCAGGGATGTGAAGGAGTGTTGGCCTAGCTGATGTGGCCACCTTGGCAAGGGACCCTCCCCATATGGTGAAGCCCATGCCTCAGTGCTGTGCTAGGTGCAGTGCTGGCTCGAGCACATCTGTTCTGTGTGCTGTACAGGTGCAGCTTGCTGATAGCGTTAATGGAGCACGTGGAGTTTGGCACTGGCTTTTCCGATAGGAAAAGTGTTTTTTAGATCATGTCATCCCCTCTCTGTGCACAGTCAGTGACCAAAGGCAACTTCTCACAGCCTGAATTCAAGGTGAATTGTACCAGTTGTGCAAGGCCTTATTATGGTGTTGGTTGTGTTTATCAGGATAAGCAAACATCCCTGTGTTTCTTAGGTATGACTCAAAGTTATCGTAGATCGTCTGTTCTTTTTCTGCCAGTAGTTTATTTGCATTTTAATTTTCTAGTAGTAGCAGTGTCTTAGCATTTGGTCAATTCTACCAGATGTGGCTATTTCCTTTTAGAAGGGAAAAACGTCAGCTTTCATCAGAATCTTAGATTAGTTAATGAAAATCACTTAGTGAATGCATTCAAGAAATAAGATTGCTATCTGAATGAGATGCACTATAGGCTTCCTTCCTTAGGTCATTCCTCAAATCATTTGTGATGAAGTAAATGGGTGAGAGGCTTTCATTCTGCTGCATACACATCTGTCTGATATTATGGTTAAATACATCATTGACTAGTTGAGCTAATGGGACTTAACTACTGAAAATTGGATGTGGTCATCAGATGAGTCTGAGCACTGCAAGTACTTCTTTTGGAGATGTGCCATTTCTGTGACAGTGAGGTGTTTTCCCATGACGGCATCTTCTCCTGCTGCAGATAAACCTTTTTTGATCACCTGTGAAAAAATATTCAACTTGGCCTTGGTTACCTTCAGCTGCTAGTGATAATGAAAATGATGTAACCCAATTCCTCTTAGGCTAATGATGTCTTCTAAGTTGCTATTTGTCATGCTAGTTCTCATTTTAAAGCTGCTATAGATTCGAAAAGAAAAAAGCTCTTTTTCTTCCAATTTTAACACTGATGTCATTGTCAGGTATGGAAACGTAGGCCAGTAAAACAGATTTGAGAAATCTTTCAAGTTCTTTCTGAATGGTTTGCACATTTGGTATCTGTTGCCTGGTTAGCACAGCTGAGAGGTTTGTCATTTGAAAGAGCTTCTGTTGTAACCTATTTGAAAGGCCTTTATTTGTATGGTGTGGGAAGACAGAGTCTAACATTGTGATAGTAAAAAAAATTTTGTGCTGGAATGTGGTTGATAAAATTCCCAGGAAAATGCAGATATTTTGAAAGATTATTGCAATCTTCATTGCCATTTCTTGGTTTCCCTTTCAGAAATGTTCCCATTGCCAGGAACCAGGAGCCACCTTAGGCTGCTACAACAAAGGCTGCTCCTTCCGATACCATTACCCATGTGCCATCGATGCAGGTAAGGACAAGTGGCATGTTAAGTGTATTTCCTTTATTCAAATCATATGATGCTAAATAAATCTGAGGTACTTTACAAATTTATTCTCTCTCAGTTTTTCACCTACTGTGAAGACAGAGTAATATGAATAGTGAGAAATGGCATCAGATAAACAGTGTACAGTAATGCACTGGGACATGGTAGTACTCGTCATGCAAAAGAATCTGCCTGGAAGTGCAGGAAAACCCTAGTTTGTGGGAGTGCAGCTATGGTGACCGAAATTTGGCTGCAGTGTGAGGACTCACCACTCTTTTCTTGCAAGAAACTAGAAACCCTTTGTTAAAAGGATGCGAGTAAGCAGAAAGGTGTTTCCCCTTTCCGGGTTACACTGCTATGGATAGGCATAGTAATGATTTCAAATGTTTATAGAATCATCAGTGCCACTTGCAGCACAACCTTCCTTCTCCCTCCTAAGAGGTATTTCAGCCAGTCTCTTGAGGAGGTCCAATTTTCATCATTGGACAAGCTAATGGTTTGGGTAGTGTTATCGCCAGCTATGAGCCTGGGCTTGTGAGTTAGTGGGCTTTGTACAATAGTGACAGTTTTTCATGGAGATAAACTTTATTCTTGGATTTAAAAACCATCCCAGCTCAGAATAAATAATATCCCACTATTCCAGTCCTCTGTAACTCACTTCTACTGTCACACAAAAGTTGTCTGATAACAAGCAGGTAAGGATTCAAGAGTACAACTCTTGACTGGCAAACAATCGCAAGCTTCCATTCCAATTCCACAGCAGCCCACTTGTTTGTTCACCACCCATTTTATGCTGTTTTCAGATGTTAGAGTATTTGAAGTAGGTGTGCTCGTTTCTGAATGACTGCGTTGCACCTCTCACCATGAAATCCCACCCTACTGGGGCACTGCATAGCATTCTAATGGAAATGTTTTTACGGGGATTCATGTTGCAGTGGAATACTCCTAGTTGCACAGTATAGATGAAGAATCCTTGACTTGACCAAGATGTTAAAGAAAGATTATTCGGGTTGCAAAAAAATCGCCCACTCAAAGAAAGGCCAGAAATAAGGGTGTCCATGTGACTAATTTTGGTCTCCTATGACTGTATCTTGTGAGATAGTAATTGCCTAATTAAAGGCTGATACCTGTTTCCATAAGGCCCTACCTCAGCCTGTAGGATGAAAGGATACTCACTGCTGAACATATGTTGTCCTTGCTGATCCTGTATCATACTTCCTTCTCAGTTCTGAAAGTAGAACTGTGAAATTCCCTGTGATGTTCATCTCTGCTATGCCTAAGAGTTTCATGAGCATTAACAAACTTTTTTTTTACAGCACATTTGAGAGACAATCATCAGATTTGCATTTGTATTGTGTTTAGTGTGACCTGCCCTTATCAACCCCATGAAAAATCCAAAATAAATGATAGTTAATGTTCCCTATAGTTTGGGATGCTTAATTTGAGTTCTTGTTTTACTAGATAAAGTATATGTAGCATTTTCTGTGTTCTAAATACAGATATCAAAATTAAGATATTGTCCTTTTTCTTCAGATGTACCTTCCTCATTAACTGTACTCCAGCAAATGCAGTAGGATCCTCCAGATGACAAATATACTGCACAATCATGGCTGGTTCCCAAGAGCAGTTCTGTGTCATGCATGGAAGAGGCAGTGTCGTGTCCAAAAACTAGTATATAATCATACTATTTAGTCCATATTGGTTGTAATATGTTTACTGTGTAATATGTAAAAGTGGGCTAGATTAGATTTGACTTTTCCTTACTTTTGTCTTGACTTTGCAACCTTTGAGATTTTTTTTTAGATTAGCTTTATGTGTTCAAGTCCCAAGGCTATGCTTACTTAATTTTCCTTTAACTTTTGTTACGAGACATCACGTTGTCATGTGGCCATCTGTCAGAGTGCACAGTTCCAAGCTAATTTCCCTCCTTTGAGCAGTACAGCAGTAATAAATTGCAATAGCTGCATGGGGATGGGATACTTGGACTGGGAGTTTCACAAACATATTTAAAAAATAGCAGAGGAGTTGGTAAAACGGGTGAGTCTCTGGTTTCACTCCAGGAAGAGTGTGATTTAGTGAGAACAAAGACTTCTTTGGGGGTTTTTTGATATATTTTTCTGTTTCTTCCTGTTCAGTCTGTATGTCTGTTATGTTCTCCACTCTAGCTCTTCATACCAGCCACAGCACAGGCCTTTTATCCAGCTGGTCTCAGGCTTCTCCTCACAAATTTCTTATTCCAGTCTCTTTGTAAGACCAAATGGCCTCCTACTGCTTTCTGAGTTTTCTTTTGTCCAGTATTCTAGCTCTCTGTCTGGCTTCCTCCTCTCTGCTCTTAGATTACCTTTTCCTTTCGTGTCTTACTCCTAGCTGTTTTTCATCTCTGGACTTTCTTATTCGCATTTGGTTCTCCTAACTTAGCTCCTTGTCACACCTAAACTTGCCCATCCTGATTTGTTCTTGTTACTTATTTTCACTGTTTCATCTTTCTGTTTCCTATCCCAATAGTTCTTAGTCTCCAGTCTTCTGCCTGAATTAGTCCTGATCTTGGCCTCCTGCTGGCATCTTAATTCCTTGTTCCTGACTTCTAGTAGCACTGGTGCCCTCATCCTGCTAGTCTCCACTCTTTCTCCAGTTTGATTGCCTTTCTCAGTAATGTTTTCACTTCTGCCTTCTGGACTAGTGCTTCCCATTTGCAGTTTTGAAATGGTTACTTTCTTCCTTCAGGCTGCCTGAGCCTTAGAAATGTCCCCTGACAGCTTCACTGCTTTTGGGTCCGAAGCCAGAGGTTCATTTACAGGAAAGAACTGCTCACCTCCAAACAGAATTTTTAAGGGACCTAGCTACTAAAATCTAAGAAGCTTCTCCTGAGGATGAGCAGATGAAAATCCCCATTCCTCCTTTTCAGGGAGTTATATTTGCTGATTTTATGGTAGCTGGCAAGGGCATACCTTAGCTAAAATTCAGGTCCTACTGAAAGTCAGGATATGGTAGAGCTTTTCAGAGAAAAATTTCTGGGGTGTTTAACGTGGGTAGAATAACGTTTTTCCAGGAAAGAGTTCTAAGGAAGTCATTAGGCTGCTTTAGCTGAAGTTTTCAACCAAAACAAATAAAAGAGCCCCAGCTTGAAGTAGATTCTCAGAATTTCAGCCTGATGGTGTGACAGTAAAAGACCTTGTTTGCAGTTGGTTTTATCTGTGGGTGTAATCAAGCTGTCTTAATCTATGGACACTCTTCCAATAAATCTGTGCAAGAAATAGGCAAGCTATATGGAATAAGACTTGATTTTAATTTATGCCCAGGCAGAAAATGTAGGAGAAACAAATGAGCATTATTTTCTGTTTTCCTCAGCCTTCTGTCTGCCTATAAACCCCTTTTATTGGTTATGCAGTGCTGCTGCCTTTCCTGTAGTGAACTCGGTATGGGTATTTCTCAGGTTCCTTGAGCTCTGTGGTAGTTCTGTTTGAAGTCAACCATCCTGCTTTGAAGGATGGTGCCACCTTGCCTTATTGAGGATCTGTCACAGAGCTGTTCTGAATCCTCCAAAGTTTGTGTTGACATTTACAAGGGCTCTCAGGGTTTTGGAATATGTATGACTGGTTTTGTATCTTAAAAAAACCCGACAAAAAACAAACAGAAAGCACTTGCTGGAGTGTTTTTCAGGGTATGTTGAATCATACACACTTTGTATGTGACTGAGTTCCTGTAGCATCCCTGGAAGTGACCAATGCCTCAGTTGAGATGAAGTATTCATGCTGTATTCCGAGGCTGTTGCACTGTGAGCTGAAGCCTGTGTTTCCCTTTGCATCCATGTGGGTTAGAAGTTAGTGCCCTGTCAGTTACTGTGCCTTGTGTGAAAGGCAGTGTGTTTTTGGGAAAGGTCTAGAGGGTGGAATAGGTCACAGTGGCTTTGGTTCCCTGCAGTGCTGAAGGCTGTCCCTGTGGTGTGGCCTGGGCTGTGCCTATGCTGGGGTGAGGCACCAGGCCTTGCATTGCTGTGGCTAATTGACTGCTATGCAAGGCACGTGGCTTCAGAAGTTGCCAGTTCGTACATATGGATGCTTTTATACAGCCTAATTCAGCCTTTCTTTTAATCTCCTTTCAGAGAGAATAATCTTTGGCAATATAGAGTGCAAGGGAGCTGAACATTTCTTATCCATTTGCATAAAAATCATGATCAGTAGTGCCACTTAAGTAATTTTTGCATGGAAATGACTGTGTTTAACATTGTCTGTGTTTGGCTTTCGTCTGTCCAAATTTATGAAGAGCCTCTGATGTCTCAAGATAACTTAGTCCTAGGGATGTCTCCATGGAAACAGGATCTTTGTTTTCTGAAATTCTATATCCTCTCCCTCTGCTTGTTCCTCCCCACCTGGAGTCAGATCCTGATGATTGCAGCATACTTGTCCCCACAACATGTACCATAGGCAGTTTGACTTACCAAAGATTTTTTACTCTAAATTAGGAAAAGACTAACAGCAAAATAAAATGAATTTTCAGAGAACAGATATCCTGTGTCTTCACAAGTATCTTTAAAGATGAGTAACAGGCAGAACACAGAGGGTGAGACAAAGTATGAAGCTTACAGAAGAATGGTTGCTTCTATTAAAAATGTTTTAGGTTTTCCCTGACTACTTTATGGAGAAAAATCTGTGCAAACAAGGACAAGTCTCAGATCTTTTCCTTTTCTGCCACAATGAGCTGATCATAGCTATGTGTCTGCTGACTGCATGATGAATTGTAATCTGTGATATAAAATACTTGGAACTGCTAACCAAAATCCAGGCCAGCTTTGTAATGATGAACAATTTTTGCCTTATTGGTATTCAGCTGAGTTTCTACAGTGAGCTGACAAAATTGTTCGTAGTTGTCCTTTAATAGAAGCAAAAAAAAAAATCGCCATTAAGTGGATCTGCTAATAATATTTGCAACAAAAATGCCAACCTTAGTAAGAAATTGAGCCCCATATACAGATCAGGCATGAGGTACAAGGTTTCTGGCTGTTATTCTTGATCTATGTATCATCTTCCTTTCTGATGTACTAGCTAGAGAACTGCATTCATTACCAATGTTGGGTTTCCAAGAAAGAAGAAAACTCCATCCTGTTCTACCATACTGTGTATGTTTTTGATGATTGCTCTGTGTATTTTTGATGATTGCTGTATTATGCAGTGATAATTCATGCTGAAGTCTAAACGTACAATTCTTGCCCTTATAATGAGAAAACATTTTATTTATTTCCTGTGATTTGCTAATGCTGCATTTGGAATCATCTGTGGCAGGATTAAGGGTTTTACTCCCCTTGGTAAAATCTCTCAAGTAACTTAGCCCATTGCATGCTGTTTCCCTTTGATTCAGGCCAGAGGCATTCATGTTGAAACATAAGCGTTTCGTAGCAGAGGGATGCTCTGCCAAAGCTTGGGTATCTAGAAAGCTTTTCCCTCAAGCTTTAGTTCCAGTCTCCTGCTGTCTGCTAAACTCTTCCAGCAGATTGAAACAGCAGGTAGCACTGGTTATGCTACATACTTAAGAGCGTTTTAAATTAGCACATTTTATTTACCATTGTGTTTCTTTACTTGGTGGCTGTTTGGGTAGGGTGGAGCAGACAGGAGGTCACAAGCACCTTGCTGAGTTCTCCAGTGTTGGTCACACTGAGGTGGTGATGGTGTTTGGGCCTATGACATGGTGATAGTGCTGGGTCAGCCATGCGAGAGGCAACGGGCAAAGAGCTGTGTCAGACCTTTGGGCAGGTTGAGAGGTGAGCCTGCAGTTCAGGGTGCCCAGGGGAGGCAGCTGAGTGTTCTGAGTGAGGGGAGCACTGTTTTTTCACTTGGCTGATGTTCAGGAGCTGCTGACTTGCATCCCTTAGAAGCGTAATCTGGGAGGGAGCACGAGAGGAGAAGCAAAGCTGGCAGTGCTGCTACAGAAATGCTCTTCAAATGGCAGTATTGCTTAATTTGTTCCAAAATAAGCAGTTCTGCGTAGGTGCCCCACTTGTAATAGGTTTAAATCATTAATTAAACTATTTCTTAGATGATAGAAGCTTCACATACACGAGCTCTGGAAGCAGATCCAAGGGCAACATGAGTAGTGACCTGACTACCAGACCTAGTGTCAAAGTGTAAACTGATCACCAGGATTTGGGATTGCAAATAAACTGTTCACACCCATACCTAGAGACACACACCCCTTCTCTCCCTGGTGTTGGCAGGGCCTTGGGATAAGGATGAAAGGCAGTGATTTTCCTATGGAAAGCGAGGATCATCTGTTCATATTGGATGAATGTGTCCATATTTGTTACGCTGAAGCAAGGAAGGCTGGAATAGCTGAAGGGGGTTGAGACAGGATTTGTAGACTTGCTGTCGTGATTCTTACTGCATACAGAGCATTGGGAAAACTGGGGATGCTTGGTGTAATCCAGGCAACATTGTCACTTGGGGTTTTGACTAATTTTGTTTGCTAAAACTTGGGGGGGGAAGGGATGAACCCGCTAATAACAGAATATTCCTATAAGAGATGTGTGATGGAAAAGTGTATACCTGTGAGGCAAGATTAACACATGTGATGTATTATTCAAGTTGGGTTTTATTAAAAAAGTAATAAATTGCTGTCTTTTCCTCCTTTAGATTGTTTACTAAACGAAGAGAATTTCTCAGTGAGGTGCCCCAAGCACAAGGTAAGAATCCTCTCCTGGATTAGACCTGTTTTTTTGCTGCCCTCTTCTGGTATCCGAGTTTGGATTAGTAATTTTATACCTGGATAACATCTGTAGTCAGTGATGCTTTTAGTTTAATTCTTCTGTGATGTGTGCTTGTGGTATATTCTGAGGGCAAACATCAACTCAAGAAGAATACAGAGTTTAAGAAGAAACATTTTTGACCTGTCTGTTCAGTTGTTCATCAAGGCTCCTTGATGACTCTTTAGGAAGCCCCACTTCATTTCCTGAATTCTGTGATAGAATCAGTACATTGCTCCCTGTTTCTGTTTGAATGCTACACTGAAGTGTCAGTGGTTTTTCTCCTTGGATTTACTGAGTACGCAAGGAGGAAGAAAAATGGCTTGCGGAAAAGTTCTACTGGTTTTTGGAAACATCTGGACTACATCATGAATTGATGTAGTGATAAACCTGAAACACCTAGTTCTCTTTTAGTGGTAGTAACTAGACTGAGTCTTGCACTCAGCCCTCGATAGATCATAGAATCATAGAATCAGCTGGGTTGGAAAAGACCTCAAAGATTATCGAGTCCAACCCTACTATGCTTATTAGACCATGGCACTAAATGCCAC